TGTAGACAAATGACGATGGATAAAACAGCATTTGAAATATAGTTTTCACTCTATCATTGTTTTAGTTTTAAAAGTGTATTCAAATTTCAGTTGAAGTATTTTAGAGTTTCCAAAGCCGAGGCACTAACTGGTATTACTGATCAAATGTTTAACAGCTTTAACTGTCTCAGCACTATTAGTATTAATGCTAATCTAGTGGCTTTTTCATGTTTAATTTTGGCAGATGTTTCATAATGAATCTAATGTCTAAAACTAAAATTAATTTGAGGCCATCTTTTTTTTTTTTGGGGACATGCAAATGTGTTTTAGTTTACTTTTTCTCAGTTGTTAGTTTTAATTTTCACTTTTCATTTGAGTATTTGTAAATTATAATAACAAAGTGAATAGAATGATTGTGTTTCCAAGATTCTTCTAGACGATCGTTTATGAAGATAGTGTTTAACTCCACCGCTAATCTGACCGACCTGACAATAGCAGACAACGTGCTGAAAGAGGTGAGAACGTGATGTTTGTCTCTTACTGATTCTTCGTTATAATACTGATGAATCGTTCGTTGCAGTTGAAGTCAGCGCTGGCTGTGAGAGGAATCACTAATGTGACGCTGAGCTGGTCTCAAACCCCTGAAAAAGTGATGATCCATAATCAACGTGAAAACGGTGAGTCTGTTCTTACAACCAGCGATCTAACGTGAATCTAGGAGAAATGCTGTAAAATCCTTTAGTGATGTGTTTAATGATTAGGAACATCTTAATCGGTGTGATTTTAATTTCTAGATCCCTGCTGAAGCAGATTTCTTGAGCCTCTGAGGAGTAACCACCATCATGATTTTAATTTTCATTATATTATATTCATTATACAGTTATTGCAACATGCCCGACTATGCAGTTTTCATCAACCCTCTGATGCATGAATTATCATGAAGAAAAAGGAAAGGTTTATTTATAATAAATATATAAGTATATATGATAAATAAATGTAATAATAAGCAAATAAATAAATATGAAAACTGTCAGCTATTGTTTCTTCCCAAAATTATGTATTTTGGTGTTATGGGGAGGAAATGATACATAAAATATTAAGCTATTTTTTTGTCTGAATTCCCTCAAAACGATGACTTTTGAGAGACACTTATGTAACAAAAGGTAGTAGTAATTATTTCAGCAGTACTTGATGCATCACCACTTCCATCAGCCATTTTGATTTTGATGCTGTCGCAAATGAATAAATAGTAAAACAAGAGGACAGTGATATAGAATTATGGTTAATGATCTAACATCACAACCTGACATGTTAAAAAGCTGTTAAAGACCTGCACATTGTAGTGGACATTATGCATCAGCGGGTTAAATGCTTAAACAATGTAAATGTAACATTATTTGGTATATTTTTAATTATATATTTTTTTTATGGCAGTAGTAAGATCTTCCCTCCTGTTTTTGTTTGATACACCACTTGGATCAGGAATATGTCATTTACTTCATAAATAGCACATGCACATGCTGTCTTTGCCACTGTAATTTTCTATTATATGCATAGAGGTTAAGTGTTTAAAGTTTAGTATAGAGAGCTTTTTAGTAGTCAACACAGTAACATTCATATATTGTGTGTTCAGGGTTAAAACAAGACAATCATGGTCATATTTCAGTTGTTCTGCATAAATATACTTCAAGTAAAATCATTCTTGAACATCAAACAACACAATGCAGCATCACTTTAACAAAGAGCTTCAAGTAACTTATTGCTTTAATAAACATTGTATTGTAATAAATTAACTGATATACAATCCCATTTAAATAAATATATACTTGTATTGTCACTTTTATTGCATGAGAATAATTTGAATCGTCCTTCAGATAAACTGCTATATTGATGAAATGACAATGTGTTCATTGGTGAGATAAAAATATAATACACATACTGTAAGGATATTCAGCTAAGTACTTGTGCATTTTTATACAGAATGTTTCAAACCAATGTTATGAAACGTAGAACAAGATGATGAATATGTCAGCAGAAATAAATGAATTATGAAAATAAAGAATAAATAAATGTCTGCTTGAAAGAGTCAGCCTGTGGATCCAGATTAACGTTTATCAGCACAAGTCCTGAAAAATAAAACGTAAATATTGTGATAATCATATTCTCCAGCATGTTCCTAAGAGTCTGTTGAGCTTCAGTGGAAGTGTGATTTACCATGAATTAATTTGCTTAACTGCAAATTATTAATTCAGAAATATTCAATATATTTTCCATACAGAAAAAAAATAAATAAATAAAAAATATATATATATATATATATACAGCATATATAGTTTTGACATATGGGAGTTTACGTAGTGAAGTATAAACTGATGTCTTACACATACTGTCAAAAATAAACCTGTACTGTACTAACGTATGAAGAATATGCACTTACCTTGTTGTTTTCTTCTCCTCGTGTGTTGCTTCCCGGTAGGGGAGTCTCGACCAGGACAGTTTAACATCAGAGACCAAACTCAACCCCAGAGCAGACCGCAGCTAAAACACACCGACAGCTATTAAAGCAAAAGTTTTAATAAAAAGATTTTGCTGACCAAAAACAGCACCAAACTTAAACAAAAAATACCCATCATATTATCACGTACTGCAAAAGATCAGCAAGCAACATACACAATTATTAACAGGACCAAGGCATTAGCTTATACTTTTGAATCGTCTCGAGTATACTGTAGTCACATTGACATTTCTAAAGCATCAATAGGGGTATACAATTTTAAAAAGGTCAATTTATTACTGTTGTTTTTTTATGTTTTCTTTGTGTAAGTTGTTTGGGATAAAAGCACCTGCTAAATGAATGTAGTGTTATGTCATATAGGACTATACGGAGATCGTCATTCCATATATACTGACGATATACTGTAGGCCTACTGGAAAGACGACTGATTATTGAATCCTAGACCACTCAAAAGTGGAATGGGATCTTTCTCTTTTGATGTTTGTCTTTTAAGATTTTGTCCATTTCATGTGAATTCTATTATCTTTTATACGTTTCCTTACCTGGTTTAGAAATGTGTTGATCACTGCAGTTGTGTCAACACTGGAGGTTAATTTCATGCTCAGAAACACTTTTTTCCTATAAGCTGGAAAAAAACAACAAGCACTTCAAACAGAAACAAACACAGCAGATTCAAATCTGACTAATTTGATGCTTTCAGATCCAGTATGTAGGCCCAGTTTAACATTGATTAAAATAGCTAAATAAATAATAAAGGAAAAAAGAAAGAAAGAAAGACCTCCAGTGCAGGTTCTGTCTTGTCTGATAAATCAACGTGATCTCATGTAAATTCGTAGAATCCGTGTATTTTATGTAAAATGTGGTTCTACAAAATGTACATTTACCTTCGTTTTCACAGGCACTGAAACGTACAATTCTGACATATTTATAGCATTTAAATGTACAATACTGTACAATACCTAAATTATTTATATATGAACAGACTTATAAATAAATCCTTATGTATGAATTGGCGGCATTAACATTTTATTCTATTGTATTCAGTTATCATATACATGGCATTATGTTTTCAGTTGCATTATTAAATTAAGTTTACTCATTTACTTAATATGAAATTATAACATTTTGTTCGGTGTGATTTCTGCTGCCAACTCATTTCGAAAAATACATAATGTTAAATAAGACTACACTTTAAGCCCTAAAATTAATAACATTTCTGCAATCGTTTAACCATTAACTTACTTATCACATAGTCTAATATTCACTTTGTTTGCCGTGGGACACAAAAGGCATTTTCAATAGAATAAAACCATAAAATACACCACCAAAACTGCAACATAATTACAAAAGGATCAATTTTATTTGTGTGCTAAAATAGAAATCTTTAGAATCCATATGACTGTGAAGAACAGAACCAAATCCAAGCTTTTATTCGGCATTATTCGTGTCCATCCTGAGCAGCGACTGTAAACAGCTGACGCGTTTGTTACAATTTAAAAAATTGCTGTTTCAAGAACCTTTACGACAGATTTTACGGCAGAAAAATCAAACGCTAATTGGCTCTTGCCTGCTTTGTCACAGATTGCGACATGCCATGTGTTTGAATGAAAAATGCATGCCTTCACAGAGTGAAATGGCCATTGAACAAGAACTAGAAAAAGAGTGGATCAGGATAATATGGATAATATTTCTGGAAAAACTTCTGCTCTGCATCTTACACAAACCTACTGTATTCCAACTGTATTCCACAAGAGAGGACTGCGGCTGAAACATCCTCTCTTCGACTATGGTACTGCTTTTGATATTTTTGCAAAAAATAAATTATATACATATATATATATATATATATATATATATATGTAATATTCAGAGGGGGGGGAGATGGGGGATTTCCTCGCACTATATGTCTCTGCATCAACTGAATGATTTTTAACATTTTATTTATTTATTTGTTTGTTTATTTATTTATTTATTTATTCATTTATTCATTCATTTATTTTTATTCCCAGTGAATTTGCAGTTGGTTTGGGATATGTTACTTGGTCTAAAATTCAGAATCGCTTACAATTATGAAAATGCAATGGTACAAATATCTTGTATCTTATTCACACCTTTGTGAGCTTTCCTTCATACATACACTATAGACAATGAATGTGCCCATTTTTTCCCACTTCAGATTTCACTATTCTTAAGAAAAAAAAAAAACATGGTTACTATAATTAAATCATGGTAACCACAAATTAACCATGGGTTTGCTACACTGACCATAGGTTAACCATGATGTTTGTGGTAAAATTGTGGTTATACAAATGGTAATCAATATGGCAAAAAAAAAAAAAACATGGTTACTACACTGGTTACTAAAACCATGGTTAATTTTCGAAAGAGTAATGTAACCGCACCTTATAAGACAGTCTAGAATTAGGTGTCAGAAATTACCTGTTCCATAAACCTCCACCTCACACAGAGTGAGGTACGTCTGGATGTTAGGGACGTACATGTTTACGTAACGGCCTCCCATTCCGTTGCAATTGAAACTGACAGTACCGCCTGGTGGAACACGTGAAGTAACGACAGCACATCTGCAGAGGGAAAGAGAGAAATCACGAAACACTCAGGTGACCTGCTCAGATCCGGTTCTCCCGACGCGTTCATTACTGTTTTCGTAACTTAACCTGGGATTGCTGTTGCCATTGTTTTCCAGAGAGTTTCCAATGCGGATCTCTACTCCAGTCATGCGCTCCGAGCAGCAATCAGCTCTGTTGGTGATGGTCACTTTGTAGATGTAGTAATATTCCAGCAGGTCCAGCCTCCACCACTGGTTGAGCTGGTTTAATGTGATAGAGCAGTATGAAGCTACACCTGGAGCGTATCTGATGCCGTCAATGGCGTTTGCCGCTCCCCAGTGGTAATATGTGGTCGATTGTACAGCCGTTCCTTTTAATGCCAAATTCTCTAAAACATTTGAAGAGACAGCGGGTCAAGACTCAATGTGTGACATTTCAATACATTTCACTTGGGTTGAAATATATTCCAATCAAAACACTCATCTCCATTTGATATGACACATTAAAATCCAAAGTTTTATGTATTATTTATTGGATATGTGCTTACATGAACTAACAACGAACAGTTGTATCTGATGCCGTCGATGGCGTACAGTTGTATTTTATTAACCAGCAATAACAAATATTAATAAATACTGTATGCTGTGCATTGGTTAATTTTAGTTAATGAATTAACTTTTTACCTTCCATGTTTTCAGAACTGCCTTGAATGGAAAAGACACCTGTTACGAAAACAAATATTTCCATTGCTTTCGGGGAAGTTTATGTTGCATTTGATTCTTTAAATATTTGCATAAATAATAGGTAAACAGCATCTATAATTGGACATCATCTGACAGGTGCGTGTCATTTGTACTCACCCAAAAGTAAAATCAGGTAATCGAGTCCCTCCATGTTGTTTTTAAAAGATCATTAACCAGTTTTGTGATGGTCAGATATGACAGCTGACAAGTTTCTCCTTCAGCTCTTTAACTTCTACTATCCATCCCTCTATTTATTTGTGTTTCTCTTAGCAGCTCGAGTCTCCACCCTTAGAACATTCTCACTGGCAGCTTGTTGAATATTTTTCACACACCATAGGATTTGCAGAATTGCTTTTCTCAGCACAACTTCACCTCTAAGGTCAAGTCAGATTTACAAAACAAATCTTGCAAAATGCAAATGAAAATGAGGACTTTGAGGATTATTTTTCCTGGCGCCAGAAAAGAACACTCAGATTAATTTGCATACAGTGTTTACTTTTATGCTTGTCTGCATCTATTTAAATGACTGATATATGAGTCAAAGAAAACATTAACATTACCATGTTTGGAAAGTTTCACCTATCCTTGAGTTTCATTATATTAGTTCAAAATAAGATCAGTTCCTAAAAGGCATCATGTAAAATAAGATGAATCAACATAACCTTTATGTTTGTACTGTTGTGTTGTCCTATATGAGGCATTTTTCTTTAATCATTCAAGTAGTTTATACGGAATGAGAAAAATTATTGTCGTTAAGCATAATAAAATGAATACGTGAAACATCCGAATGAAAGCAATGGGATAAATAGACTAATATCTTGTGTGATTAAGAAGATATTAAAAAATAAGGAAAATGTTTAATTTTATTTATCACTGTCAGCTTGATATGGACAGTAAATTTTGCAGTGTAGAGGGAAAATCTCAGTATGCTTTACTCCAATGTAAATTAAATTAATTTAAACTGAACACATGCAGTTGTATTTTAAAGCTTTTTTCCTAATGGGGACCAAAAAAACAGTATTCCCACATTTCAGGTTTTACAAGCCTTGTGGGGACATTTTTCAAAAATAATTCAGTAAAAAGCTTATTTGTTATAGCTTCGTGTTAGTAATTTATTATGATGGTTAAAATACCCTGATAAACAGCAAATGAACATAAACTTTCAGTTGATTACAACATTTCTTATTAAAAGCTGTGCCGTTTACGTATTTAGTCTATATGATGCAGGGCTTAATTTGTGCCGGAACAAGCCGGATCCTGATCCGGCACCTCTGAAATTGTCCGAAATCTGATCCGGCACCTCATTTGACAGATCCCCTCCTCATGCGCCAATGAAAGATGTTTGTGTTGACCTATAGCGTGCATATATTTCATGAAAAAAACTTCTATTATGAGCAGGCTTGCCTAGCATCTACATTTGAAACAACAAACTTGAGCGCACAAAGAGATGCGACGTAGCTGCTCTCACAAACCCCAATGCACGGATCCAGTACTGATACACAAGCGTTTTCTTTCTCAGATGTTTACATTTAGTTAAGACAAAACTGACTGTGCTTACGAGGATAATCGCCAGGATAGCCAGTTTGACATCATTTTTTGTGTTTATTTGGCTGTGTAAGCGCAGCAAGCTGTGAAAAATAACTCAATTTGGTACTCGCGAGGCGGCGCGATATGCGCGCTGTGG